AAACAATGGAAGAGTTAAGATTTATCTTATGTTGCAAAAAAAAAAATGAAAGAACAAAAGAACTGATATGGCAGTAAAATCAATATCCAAACGTTAAGGCACAAGGTGGGGCCAAATGCTACACCTGTTTAGTCTTCTACAAATAATTTACACTCAAGTCAAACAGTGCAGTTTTACATTTGTTAACTTAATGTTTTCCTTTTGAGCCATTTCTCCATCAACCAGTATAAGGCAATACATTACAAAAAAAAAAACATTACAGAGACATGTACCAAATAAACAGAAAACAAAATCCGTTAAGTTTTACGACTCCTATATGCCATTACAGCCAAGCTCTCCTTATGGCTTGGAGCAATAAAATAATTAGAATAAAAATAATGCATAGATTTAAATGATGATCTTGCATGCTGCTCTCTCAATACTCGAAACACCTAATACTCATTAACCCCCGAAAAACAAAAAACGCTTTTCCAGATCTGATAACTGAGTTGCAAAGTGTAAAAAAAAAAAAAAAACAAATAAACAAACCAAAAAGAAACTAAACACAAAAGGCAAAAAGACCAGCAACAATAGCTAGATGAAGGCATTTTGTCAATTTTTAAAAAGTCGGAAACAACTGTTAAATTTAGCCGAGATATCAGTCAGGTGGGGAAAGAAATGACTTCACTCGTAAATCCGCTTTCCACCCCCTGAGATCCAACTTTTTACTGCAGGACTAAAATCCTGTATAACAGTACCTTACAATGAAAACACACGTGCAGGAGTCCATACACCCCCGCCCTACATTTCCAGTTTCCATTAATGTCCGTCAAAAAACATGAAACAGAGAACGCCTTCCATCTGTTGTCCATTCTTAATTTGAGAGAATTCCGCCATCTTCTGGTTGCAATGTAGAACTGCGAGTTTGTTGAGCTTGACACATTTTAAAGGGGAAAAAAAAAAGGCAGATGGAGCAGATTCTGCCATTTACAGTCCACCATAATGTGCTGTGGCGTGAATCGCAGTTTCCCAGCGGCTTTAGTTTAGCAATTTATGTGTTTTCAATACATTTCTTTTATAATACAGGCTTTTTCCATTTTTGTTGATGAGAAAAGAGGGAAAGTTTTAGAGTCCAGAAAAAGTCCCAACGGTTCAGATGGTTAGCTGAAAGACAGAACACACACCAGTAAAAAAACTATTTACATTTACATCTGTTAGTATTCAGTCAAACAGAGAAT